TTGATTTACAACGAGAAAGAGTGAGGTCGTCGAGTCGAGGTTATTAAGAAGCGTAATATTAATGACGTTGACGATCTATCATGACAGAGGACGGAAGAATAAAGGCGCCATCCTGAGCGAGCTAATTATATCGCGACGACGCGGCAGGAAGCTGTGATTCATGACAGATTCGAAGCCTACTTTAGCCAAGAACATCTCGAGGAGAATGCCTGTAACGCGAGACTTTAATTATCAAAGGGATCAGCTTTCCCAGAGATATATACTCGTCCTTTCCTTTCGTCGTGAAAATTTCATCAGATCCCCGCCGGTGATTTATAAGACGTGACGAAGAATTTGATCCCGATACACCGTGTTAATTAACGCGTTGGTCGGGCTACCACTGGACTAAAGTATAAAAGTCAAAAAAGTATTTCACTCGAGTCTCCGGAGAAACAGACCGTTGAAAGTTTTTATCCAATTTACGATCAAATGTTATATTTGTATTTTTTTTTTTTTTTTTTAGTTAGAAAATGACGTGCGGAATATTATGGACAAAAGTATTTGCACACTCGATGAAAAATTGTCGATATTCTTAACTCTGAAACGAAAATCGTAAAGACGAGACTTTCAAAATTATTTCGTCATTGAACGAACATGTTACGCAATTTAACAGAAAGTATAATTTTCGAATCACACGAGATTGTATGGCAAATTGGGAGTGGCCATTGGAAAAAGATCGGACAAGAGTCGGAGAGCTGAACAAAATTCTATAGACGCAAACTTTTGTTTCTCTCCATTTTTCACGATCGACGAACGCTTAGACCGTGTCACCGTTACGTAGCAATAGTATCGCGTAAGAGGATTAGTCCCTGGCGAGCTGTTCATGCACCGTATTTCCTTGCGAACAAACACTGCTAGAGCATCACTCGATCGAACAACGAAAACTCGAACAGCGCGAACTCGCGAATCGCCAATTGTCGACTATCTCTCGAAACAGAGTTTTTTTTTTTTCAGCTTCCTCTTCGAACTTCGTTCCGCAAAATAATCGAGATTGTTCTGTTGAGCAGCTCTCCGCCAGATCCCGCGCGAGTAGTTTTCGAACGATCAACAATTGGAAATTGTCAGCCTTTCATTGACTCGCGCTAGTTTTGAAGAGGGAAAGCCAGCCTTGCCTTAAACAAACAATTTGTCGAATTTATAAAATAAATCGGTTTACAAAGTTAGTGAAACAGCGATTAACGCCCTTGGCCAGTGTGTGGACAGTTAATTTACGTACTATAAAAAGATTCTGAAATATAAACTTGATTTCTTCACGTGTTATTTTTTCGCTTACCAGAAATAAAATGAAATTAAATTAACCACTTGCGCTGGCAACTGATTGCGGACCATAACGAGTGACCCCAAACTGTATACAGTAGTTGCTTTCTTTCTAAACTCATCGGTATGATATCACTGGATAGAAATGATATTTTGTATGTATGTATATATTTTTATTTCGGCCTCTTTGGCCTTGAAATTGACATTGCACATTTCGCATTGCATTTATCCTAGCTTTTACATGTATAATTATAATATTTACATAATATTTTTGTATCCTATTTTGCCTTATCCTATACTTATATTTATCTTAACTATGCTATTCTTTTGCTAGTCTACTTGAATATCTTAACCTAATTCTTTCATTTTATTTCATGTTTATTCTGTTGCTCTCTTCTTTTTAGACCTGCTTTATTTCTTCTTTCTCTTCTCCTTGTCTCTCTTTATCTTTATTTCTCTTTTCTATTTGCCTAAACCATTTTTCTGCTTCTTTCCCACCTTCTTCACTCAGTATCTCTTCCAGACTTGCATTTGGTGTCTCCATCTCTTTACAGTCTCTCCAATGCTCTAATGTTCCCTCCCCATCCTCGCCCAAAATTTACTTCCATTAGGGTACCGCATCTTGCTCTGGCTATCACCTTCTGCTCTCCATTTTTCCTTCTCCTGTTGCCAGATACTTATACTTCCAATTGCATCTCGTCTTCTGAATTCTATTCCACTGTCTTTGTCTTTGTATTTCCGCTTCTCTTTTCCTTAGCATTTTCCCTACTGATTCCCCTTCTCTTCACAATTGTTCTACTCCTATCTGGCTAAAACCACATGTTTTGAGGTGATCTTGTCTTTCCCTTATTCTTTCTTGGTTCCCTTTTCCTGCTTTCCTTTCTTTTATGCATCCTTTGATTATTCCTCTCTTTCTCTTTCTATCCTTCCTTCATACTCTACCGTCCTTTTTGCCAAACTAATCTTTAGTTTCTCTCTTTTCGTTTCCTCCATGATTATATAGTTTGGTATCCTGATGTCCAGACCAAGCGTCCATTTAATATATTTTCTCTGCATTCTCTCTAATTCCGCTTTTTCCATCCATCCCCATACTTCTGCTCCATAGGCCAGGATTCCCACAACTAGACTGTCGAATATCTTCATTCTCTTCCCATAATTGTTTCTAAACATTCTCTCTCCTATTCCCCATGCATGCCTCATTACCACATTCGCTTTCTTTGCCACATATTTTATGTGTTCATTGTACTTGCCGTTACTCTTAAGTCGGTACCCCAGATATGTGAATTCTGTAACCTGTTCTATTGCCTTACCTTTCCAATTCCATGTCTCTTTCTTTTTCCTTCCCCCTCCTTTCCCAAACACTATCATCTTAGACTTGCTCTCATTTAGTATCATCTTTTTCCTGTCTAGATATTTCTCCAGCCTTCTCATCATTTCCTTCAGCTCTTTTTCTTCGTTTGCCAGTAGGACTGTGTCGTCTGCGTATGAGAGTGTCCAAAACTTTTCTTTTTCTACTACTTCCCCCTTTTTTGTCCCTTTTTAAACTCTTCTTCTATGTCCGCTATGAAAATCGTAAATAGTGTGGGGCTGAGTGGATAACCTTGTCTCACTCCTTCTTCTGTCCATTTCTTCACCCACCTTGAACTTTATTCCTTGTCTCTGTGTATATTTCTCTTGTTCTATTCACTAAGCCTTTACTAATACCTGCCTTTTCCTGACTATTTTATCGAAGGCCGCCCTAGATCTATGAAAAATGCATATAGCTTTCCATTCTTCTTCTCTATTGCTTTCTCTGTCACGTGTTGTAATATGTATATGTTATCCATTGTTCCCCTTCCCTTTCTGAAACCTGCTTGGGTATCCGGCAGTATCTTTTTTGTTTCGATCTGTTTCTTGATTCTATCATTTAGTGTCATTGCATATATTTTACATGCTGTACTGAACAATGTCACACCTCTATGGTTTTCTACCGCTTCCCGGTCCCCTTTTTTATATATGGGTGAAATTATTCCGGCATCCCTTCTCCTTCCCAGACCTTTTTGACTAGCTCCATCATTTTTTGCTTCGTCTCCCTTTTTAAGTATTTCCATGCAGAAATGATATTTTGTTTTACTTAAATACAGGGTGTTCCACGTAACACTTTTCACGATTTTTCAAGTAGATAATCTGACAAAGAAATGTTTTCAACAAAAGTTGATCAGTTTGACTATACAGTGCAATAAAAAAATTTCAAACAATTTTTTTTCGATAATTGTCAAGGTCATCTTCGTTTCTTTTAGATGGTACTTTATATTTTTGACATGGTATTATGGCTCGTATCTAGACGAATTCAACCTAATATACCATGATCTTTGAATGATCTTGAAGGCAAAGAGATGAAAATTTCAACAAAAAATGGCAATCAGCATAAATGGATGACAATAACTTGTGTTTATTATTAAGACTCGAAATTACATTCAATTTATGAACCTTGACTAACTGAAGGGAAACGATTTCGTGAAAAATTCACAACAAATGTTCGAATTGAAATCCATTTTATTGTAAGCACAATTCCGCTCCACGTAGTAAGTTTGTATTGGTTGCTCTTACGATACTGTCGTAGCAAACTTCTTCGCTGCTTTAAATGTTCTATATTTTCTATTGGAACAGTATAAATATTTACTCAAGGTTCCTGAATTGAATGTAATTTCGAGTCTTAATAATGAACACAAGTTATTGTCACCCATTCATGCTGATTGTCATTTTTTGTTGAAATTTTCATTCCTTTGCCTTCAAGATCATCTGAAGGTTATGTTATATAACTAGGTCGTTGAATTCGTCTAGATACGAGCTACAATACTACCAAGACAGAAATATAATGTGCCATTTAAGAAAACGAAGGTGACCTTGACAATTATTGAAAAAAAAAAAAAAATTTTTTTTTTAAACTTTTTTGTTACACTGTATAGCCAATAGAAAACTGATCAAGTTTTGTGTGAAACATTTTTTTGTCAGATTATCGCAAGTACTTGAAAAATCGTGAAAGGTGTTACACGCGGCAGTCACACTTAAATGTGTACACTTAAAACTGAGAAAATATTACAATTTTGGAGCAAAAATTTCTCGACGTGCGTGACACGTCATTCCATCGCAAGAGGTTAACCAAACCACTTGCGCTGACAACTGATTGCGGACCATAACGAGTGACCAAATCGTACAAAATAATTCGTCGCTTTCCTTTTGAACTCGTCGGTATGATATCACTGGATAGAAATTGTTGAAAAGTAATTTATTATTTGTTCTGCTTGAGTTATAATTAAATATACTTAAAACTGAGAAAATATTACAATTTTGGAGCAAAAACTTCTCGACGTGCGTGACACGTCATTCCATCGCAAGAGGTTAACCAAACCACTTGCGCTGACAACTGATTGCGGACCATAACGAGTGACCAAATCGTACAAAATAATTCGTCGCTTTCCTTTTGAACTCGTCGGTATGATGTCACTGGATAGAAATTATTGAGAAATAGTAAATTTATTATTTGTTCTACTTCAATATAGTTAAAACTGAGAAAATATTACAATTTTGGAGCAGAAACTTCTCGACGTGCTTGGCACGTCATTCCAGCGCAAGAGGTTAAACTGAAATTAAAAATTCGCCCCTGAACGTGAGTCAAGAGTTGTTTGAAAATTCTCGACTAATCGGGCCTCTTCTCTTTCCAGAACCCGGTGGCGACAGCCTTCGAGATCTTCTGGATGATCTTCGAGCCGATCCTGTTCGGCTTGACGGGCGCCCAAATCAAGATCGACGAGCTCGAGAGTAAAACGGTGTACCTGGGGCTGAGCTGCCTGCTGGTGGCCATCTTGATTCGCATGGCGGTAACGGTGCTGGTCGGGATCGGCTCGAAGCTCAATCTGAAGGAGAAGGTGTTCATCGCTCTGTCCTGGATGGCCAAGGCGACCGTGCAGGCCGCCCTCGCGCCCACTGCCCTCGACAAGGTGAACCCGAACGACCCGGAACAGGTGTACTACGCGGAGATCGTGGTGACGATGTGCGTCCTGTCGATTCTCCTCACCGCCCCCACCGGCGCCATCCTCATCACCCTGTCGGGGCCGAAACTCTTGACGAAAACCACGACGCCCGCGTCGCCACCCGAGGGCTGGAAGGCACGCAGACCCTCGATTCGAGACATCTCCATCATCAACGAGGACCCAGACCTCGAGGAGACCGCGAACGAGAGGAAGCCCTGAGGACGTGACCCTCCCCTCTCCCCCACCCCCTACAGCTGGCAATCTTCTAACAGCTCACGTCGCGAATTTACATTTCCTTTCGTTTCGTATTTTATTCCTAACGTTACTTTGCGCGTCCGTTAAGTTCCTGACACCGGGGGATCGAGGGTGAGGTTCGTTTCCCTTGACGAGATCCTGCGAACCGTGTACGTGTATGTGTATGTCTAACTAGGCGTATTTGTGTGTGTGTGTGTGGGTGTGTGCGTGCGTGGTTGTATGCAGATCGAAACGACACGAATTGGCTCGACAAGAACCAACGTTTCTTCGTTCATACGATACTGGATATATATATTCGTAAAGTGCGCGCTCTTCTGAATAGATTCTACTCGGTCTACACCGACTCTACACCGTCGGCTGTTCAAATCGACGAAACGTTTTCATTTCTTCGAGCTTCGTTCCTCGAGATTCCAATTCGGTTCGAAACGTGGACGATTATTTTACGGTCGAGGGACCAAGACTTTCGTTACTTTGGAATTTCGAGGCAAGCTTCGGACCTGTAGAGATGAAAAATCTTCGTTGGTTTTTTTTTAGATCGTTCCTATCGTTTGTGAGAATTCTGATTTCTCGATAACGCATAAAAAAACTGCTTCGTTCAAAGAGAATGAGTTTTTAATGTTAGATGATATTAGAGTTAGAAATTGAAAAGTGGACAAAAGGCAAATATATTTTATATTGTTTCGACTTGCGAACAGTATACCCTTGTTGTTATTAAAACAATTGCCTAGATATTGAAATAATGTTATTGTTATTGTTACAAGATACCTTTGTTGTTACTAAAATTTAGAAAATTAGAAAATTATGAAAATCAAGTTATAATAGACAATAGTATGATCATAGACAATAGAGTTAGAAATTAAACAAATGGACATAAGGCAAGCGTTTTGTATTGTTTCAATTTGTGAAACAGTGTATCTTTGTTACTTTTATGAGATACCTTTTGTTATTATTCAAACAAAAGAGAAATGATGCTGAGGTAATATGATAATGAGAAGAGCGTAGATGTTAAATATTTCCTCTTTAATCTATATAATATTATATAATATTATCTAACGGAGGGATTTTTAAATTCAACACCCAATGAATTCAAAACTGAAATTGAACTTTTCCATTTTTTTTTTCTCTCTTTTTCTCTTTATTAGCACACGTAATGGAACATCCGTCTTCAGAACTATGAGCTAAAATCTCAACTAGCAGTAATTCAACGTTCTGAAGATGAGAAATCTTGTTAAAAAAAAAACACGCGTGCACAAGATTGGCCAAAGTGAAGGACATTGCGCCATTTTCAAAATTCGAACTTTAGATCTGCCTGTGTTAAAAGTCCCTCGAGTCCAACATCGTGGACAAGTTACTTTAGCGATAATAATAATAATAATAGAGATATTTAGCGAGCCAACTATCCAACATTTTGTACGCATAGTCTAAGTAACATAATCGATATGTCTAAAGAAACGTAAGAGAAACGGAGCAAAGACTGCGTTGCGATTTGAAAGGGCTGATCGTTGGTGAAAACTTGGACAATTCGGGAGTCTTGTTGCTCGTTAGAAATAGTTTCGTAAGACTCGAGGATTCTAGTTTGACCGACGTTTGCAAAGTTTTGTGAAAGGACTATTCGCCTTCTTACGCATAATAACAACTAGACTGCGGATTTTTAGGCGAAATCATGTTTCTGGGGGAATAATTTTCAAAGTAGACAGCGGTTTGTTTCATTTGTCAAACATTATTATTATTATATTTATGTTGTATTATAAATATTATTATATTTGTATTATGATATAATATAATCTTTTCATGTTATATTATATAATGTAATATATGTATTTTCGATATTTTATATGTTTCCACTATACGCTATCACGTCTCTGAATTTAATTCTCAATTGTTTGTATCTTTAAATTATCTATAAATGCGTAAAAATCCGCAGACTAATAATTTAGAATATTCTTCTGCAGTAGGTATACATACGTGCAACTATTCCAAACATTATTAGATTCTTGCGACGTTCATTTCTCAATAAGTTTATCTACAGATTCATCGAGCGGAAAAATCACAAAAGTGTTTAGCTTTTTTTTTTTTCAGTCACTTATATTTTATCAAAATCCTGACTTTCGGAATTAAAGTATATCTCCATCATAGACAGAAATTTCCACGTAAAATGTACAATTATCATTAATAAAAAAAAAAAAGAGCAAATATTCATTAGAAATAAATTTGAAAATGTGTAGTTCGTCGATTGAAAATTGTCCATGAATATTAAAGTATCACGTATTTTGCACCAAGTGTGGTGATATTCATTCGAGTTTAAGCTCAAAGTTAATTGTACGAACGGTGAACTTTTTAGCGATAAGCAAAAGTGATAAAAAGAATGTTGAATGACTGACGAAGCGTAAGAAGCAGGAAGGCACTTGTTGCGGACATGTTGGAGACATGCACGTGAGTCTGTAGATACATTTATACACACTAGCTGCTTGTATAATTAACCTTGAATACGAGAGCGAAAGAGCGAAGGCAGCAGAGCCAGCGAATTGATTGATCGATCGAATTTGATGTAAACTGCACTTGCGCGTGAATCGATCGATTAATTAATCAGCTTTTAAAAGCACTTCTGAATTAGTTTGCTGAAGAGGAGAGCACGAACGCGCGTATGACGAGAATGAAGCCTTATTGTTGAACGCTCTAATCTTTAAGCTCTATTATTATGTTGATATTAAAGATAATGATCTTAGATGTAATTCCTTTGCACCTTCTTTTTAATACCATCATCTTTCATCGTATTTCAACTTGCTTTCACACTTGCGTTTCGTTTCTTCAATTCAATTTGATTTGATAAAAAAAAGAAATTACCATTAAATTAGTTAAATTCTTTTATTCAGAGTCAAAACAATTTTATTAATTGAATAATCGAAGCAATCGTTATATTTTCGTGCAGTTACGTAGAGGATTTATATAACAACTTTTTTTCTAAATAACCATCGGTTCGGGATTTTATCGATAATTATTTGCTTTAGGAATATGTCGTCAAGGTCGTCATTCTGGACGTTGTCAGCGTTCGACTTTATTTCTCGAGATATCGAGATAAAATTGTAATTTATATTTTTCAAATAACAAATTCCACCAATTGCAGTGATTTTTAACAGAAGATTCTTAATTATTGAGAATTTTGGACTTCACACAAAACACGTCGCCAAACATATCTTTTTTTTTTTTATAAAATTTACCAAGAGTCATTTTTCGTACTTTAAAGAATTATTTCAAAATAATTCTAATCCGAATCCCTTCAAAAAGAGCTGATCGTTTCCTAATATCATTGCAAAATGAGTATTTAAAAATATTTTCAACATTATTAATACTACATTTTCAATATTATACTCGCTTTAGTGAGTATATTTGTGAAATTTCTTGCTTGCGATTTTAAGTTTGAGTTAGATTTGAGTCAAGTTTCATCTAAAAAAGACATAACTGTGCTTCGTATTGAAAATTAAACTCTGAATAAGTTTATCACACTTTTTGCGTATCTTCAAAAGTTTGCTTAGTTTCGTTTTATTTTGTAACACGGAATACTTTAGTTCAATGAATGTTAATACCAATGCTGATCAATCAATAGCTCGTCTATGGTTGTTTACAATGAAACCCAAATATTAAAAATAAAATACAGAGCAGAATTATTTCAAAGTGATTGAAATCGATGGGGAGGTTGGAATCCCAAACAATTAACTGTATAATCTCGAGAAAATCCTTGCAAGTCCAAAAGTCATTGAAAATCAGAAAAATTTGCTTCCTAAATATGAATATTACATTTTACAAATCATATAAATATAAACTATAAATTATATTTTCATAATATAAATTATAAATTGTATATTCATAATATAAATTATAAATTATGTAAAATATAAATTATATTTTTACATCTCGGAAACTAGGTGACACACGTGGAGGAAAGTTCAGAATGATGACCCTGGCAACATATTACAAGCACTAGATCAAAGAATTTTCACTTGTCGTCTTTTCATCTTTGAGAAGATGGTTCGTGGAATACGAATAATTTGGAATGTAGTAATTAGAAATAAATAATACATAATAATATATAATAATATACATGTTATACTGTATATTACACGTATGTAATAATATATAATATATAATACCATACGTATTATATTGTATATTATACGCATATAATAATATATAATATATAATAATACGTGTTATATATCATACGTATATAGTAATATGTAATATATATTATATAATAAATAATAATATACGTGTTATATATTATATGTAACATACGTGTTATTTATTATACATATATAATAATATACGTGTTATATGTTATACATATATAATAATGTATGATATATAATAATTTTCATTCTAATAATTAGGAATAAAATTGCCTAAGAATTTGAAAGTTCAATATTATATGCAATTTCTCCTAGTATACTTTGTGTTGTCAGAAATATCTTTATGAGATACACATATATTGTATGTTAGAAGTAAGAGAAATAATAATTACAAATGAATATGTTGCCTGTGGAAAAACTTGAAATTGAATATTACATACAATTCTGATGATATACTTTGTATTATGAGAAACATAGTACGTATGTTCTATATTTGAAAGAAATAAATGTGGCGGAGTCTCGGAGATTCTTACTTAAAATTTTCTACGTATTAATTTTGCGATTCAATACGTTTCTTCAATTCTTTCCTTTTTTTATTTGTGAAAACGTATGCTGAGGGATATCTTTCTATTCACTTCGTTTCTGTGTGAGTTCAATACACGTATGAATAAATATAAAGAAAACGCAACCAACGCGACTGATATAAAGGAACAGGAAAATTAGAAGGAACAGTCGACTTTTTTCGCCTAGAAACCGAGCAGGAAATCGAGCAGGAAAATTGAGACGGAAGTCATTGGTCACGCGAAAGAACGAAGGTAATAAAACAGCATCAATGATCGATACCTCGTACCAAATAACTCCCAAATGTTGTTCAGTGTTTTAAATAGAAAAACAAGAGTTAACATTCGCTTAAATACTTTTTCAAAGTAATGAAACATTTATTAACAACGACAGTTTCGATATTAATTTACTCTCTCGTTTCGTAATTTGATTTTTGAGGAACTACAACGAATTTCTTCGGACTATCTGTAGAAAAATGTTTCGACATCATTTTTAATTTTTTTGCTATGAAAATAAGTGAAAAATCACTTTGATGACTTTTTTTTCCACTTATATTCTTTTTGTTTTTTTAAAATATGAATTTATACTGAATTATTTGCATTTAAATTCCATTACACTTATCAAATATGAAAAAAAAACTGAACGAAGAACGATATATGTATATTATTTAATATTTGGAATATTTATATTTATTGGTAATACATCTTTTATAAAATTAAATCGATCCAACGATTCAAATGTGTGATAATATTTCGTTACAAATACAGCTTGTAATTACTGAAACTAACATTAATAACGAAACCTTGTCTTTTGAAAGACAAAAGACATAATCGTGGTGACATCGTGTTAATTTTTCACGTAAATCTGCGAAACTGTTCTAAAAAAAAATTATAAAATGGTCATTTTGACTAATTTAGTTGTTACACCTTTGGAGATCGATTAATTAAGGAGATTTTATTGGAGAGTGCTGGTCGGAATGGCCACTTGCCAAGAATCTATCAGCACAAAGATTACAACGTCGATTTCAGTTACACCACCGCCGAGATTGGCAATATTTGTCTGACGAAAGATCGATTAATAACGCATGAAACTACCAGGCTAATGTTTATTAATTTCTAGAAACATCTCGTTCTCGATGTCTCCAGTATCAATAATTATTTTTGCTTCTCTTTTGCTAATAAGCCGACAGTTAATCCTTCGACTATGCGTGCACGATTCTCATTCACAATTCCTTTGACGCGTAAACGATCGCATAGATTGTTGATAAATATAAATCAATTTGCCAATGTCTATACATCTCTTGCTTTTTTTATTTTTTTGGAATAAACGAATTAAATAAGATTAGTACATGAACATCTTAAACAGAAGAGATGGATAAGGAACCTTCTTAAAGAATCGTTAAAATTTCATATGACATTATTAAGAAATTCGTGGAATCAAGTGGTATTGTCATTGTTTGATAAGAAGAAATTTAATAACATTTAGACACATTTTTAGCCACAGTTTCCTCATTTGCTAACAATCGCAACCACCTTCCAATCCTCCGAAGACCAAATAATCTACTGCAAAAGAGTAATAAAAAAATGAATGGAACAATACATGGATCACAACTAAAAGCACTCAACTACAAAAAGGTATCCAAGACTTTCACCAACAAACACCAAACATTAGCAACAGGAAAGAAGGAATAATTATCACACACCTAAGAATTGGTCATACCAAGCTGACATAAAATTAAAACAACTACACTTCCCACCTGCAGCTATTGCAATAACCACCCATTAACAGTCACCCACATTCTGCACGAATGCCACACCACAGAATCCCAAAGACAGAGACACGGAATCCAACTCAAACATAAACCTGACTTCTCAAAATAACGTACAAAGAGTTTTAAAATATCTCAAAAAACACAAACTACTACACACATATCTAATACCACCGTCGTTGCTAATGACCTGTCGCTATCGTTGCGACGTAAAAGAAACAGATATGAAGAAGAAGAAGAATTTTTAGAACGTGCTATCTTTTTGTACAT